TGAAGATTTAAAGGTCAAGTGAAGTATATTTTACCATTTGGCATCAAAGGTTCCATTTGAAGTGGATGCGAAGAACGCAAGAATCGTCGGCAATATTATCAATATGTTGCAATATCCTGAACTACCAGTTTATAAGGATATGTAATGTTAAATTTATGTTAACTATCTATGTAATGTTGAGTGTTTTAATTTAATGTCAAATTATTTTTATTTCTACATCATACTCATATTGTCTTTATTTCTGATTTTAAGTATCAGGACCATTTTCGGATATGCATCTTTGAATTATACCAAATACACTTTTGGAGATGCAACTCTAGACTAAAATTAAGTATAATAGAAGTGACCCATTCGCTTACTTTCAATTTTGTAAAAAATTGGTGCGTCTGAAAGTGTATCTCCGAACCCTAAAGATATTTTTTTGTTTTTACCAAGGATTTATGAGAAGGTATAGAAGTGGGAAAAAATGAGAATTTCTTAATCCACCCCTTGATACTCTTAGGCACCTAGCGAAATTCCTTTTATATCCCCTGCTTCCGGAGATACATATTCGGGCGCACCCTTTTTTTCTCTACGATGGATGCTTCCAGAGATGCATTTAAAGAAAAAGTTCCTGAGATGCATCTTCGAAATCTTATCAGAACAGGTTTTTTTATTAAAAAAAATCAATTTTTGTTGGTCGTAGATGGAAATTAACTGTTGCATATGAATATAAAATGACATACATCCGTAAATAAAATTATATATATATATATATATATATATATATATATATATATATATATATATATATATATATATATATATATATATATATATATATATATATATATATATATATATATATATATATATATATATATATATATATATATATATATATATATATATATATATATATATATATATATATATATATATATATATATATATATATATATATATATATATATATATATATATATATATATATATATATATATATATATATATATATAAGAAGTAATATGTGATAATCATCATCAAAAAATAGTACATCAATGTCATCAAATTACAGTCACTACTGTGTGTTCCTAACAACAGCTGCATCCCCTCCTCCGCATATGCCTCTATCGCCTCGTCTGCCTCTCACGCCTCCTCGTCTGCGTCCTCAGCCATTAATCTCACCCATCCAGACGCGATGCCTGTGATACATAATCCTTGGTTCCACCGCAATCATGTAATCCAATACACGCATGTGGTCAAACCCCTCAAAAAAGAAATCGGCGGTAATGTCTGTCCGCCCCATCTCCACTATCTAACAACGGCGAGGCAGAACATCCTAAGTGTGGTCAAACTGAGATTGTTGCTCCTCTAAGATCTCATGGTGAGCTGGTTTGGGTGGTGATCCTTCGGCAGTGGGCACCACGTAGGGGTGTGAAATGGTGAAGAAACGCATGATGTAACCATCAACACAGCCCCAGTCTGTCGGCGCTCTGTTCACCCGAGCCTCGTCGGGTATTATTTACCTCTGGTAGTCGGCATAGATCTCCTCTATCTGCATACGAGTCAAGCCGAGAGGAGCAGAGACAACTGGGTGTCTGGGAATGGTTTGAGTGTGATCGAACTTCCGCATGACGCGCTCGGGAAAATATAGAACAGTGATGGTCGAACTGCATGCCAACCATCTTGAGAATAGGGAGATGTCGTCAAACGGACGCGTCACGCAGTGATCACCGTAGACTTTGTATCGAATGTTCTAAGCATCCAGACGATCGATATAGACTATGTAAGGGTCGACCGCCTAGTTCCCCCTGAGCGGGAGAAAGATACAGGCACGCGACATCTGCCCTGTGTAATCTGACACACTCCCCCATCCAGCGATCATGGAAAAGTGTTGGAATATCCAAGCCTGAAATGAAAATAAAAAACATCAGGATCAAGCATTATCTCAAATATAGAATGAAAAGAAATGAAAAAAAGTCGAAGGATATAAGATTGTTACCACAAGTAGTGTCACGCTCCCTGCCACAGTCCTGGTCTTCCACAGGCATCCATCTCCCAACCTCAAATATGTGTAAACCAGGCTAGGCCCCCCTCAGTTGTACTCATGGATCCTTGTGGAATCCAAAAAGTACCTCAAGTAAGCGACATCTGTATATGTGGAGGAAGTGTCCACAAACAGTTAAGTGCCGACTAAAAATAGAAAATAATATTTCAGCACACGCTGCCTGTGTATCTCAACCTCAGTTGGCTCACTATCTGCCTGGCGTGCAGCAACGAGCGCCTCACCAAATCTACGAGTGAGAAAGGAAAACCTGACATGAGCCCCTCTGGTCTTATCCACCACCTCCAGCGCATCCAGTGGAAGAAAAACCCCAAGCTCTTCGACCAACATCTCTCTTGCATCCTCCTTTGTCATCCTACCATGACGGAGGAGGGTACCCCTGATAAGTATGTGTAGCAGACAGTAGATGTCGTCCAGTGTGATCGTGAACTCATCATGCGGTGGATGGAATGAGGACGTCTCAGGGTGTCATCTCTCTGCAAAGCCCATCAGCATCTTGTTGTGGATCACATTGTAACCAATCTCACAAAGGTCCTTCAAACCAGAGGCGGAAAGGACATCATTGAATCAAGCCTCATGTGGCTGCTCCAAAGATAATATCTTCCGTCCATGGTTATAGAACTTCTGCGTGACGAGTCTGAAAATTTCCATAAATAAGAAACAATGTTAATAAGAAATAATGGTACAAATTATAAATTTTCAATGAAAAAAAAGAAACAATATGAGTAATGTTAGCTTTCCATCCCAAACATGTCTGAAAGTATGGTCAGCGTACCCTGTCAGCAGGGACATATCTGAGGGACCCCTTGAAAAACCCTTAGGCTCATCATCGCCGTCGTCACCAGCATCCTCCGGTGATGGCTCATCACCCTCTGGACGTGGCACTGGATCATCGACAAGAGGAGAACCAGGAGTATCCCAACGAAGCCTGTGGGAGGACGGGGCCTGTGATGAACCCTCAGTTGAATCTCGACGCCTCCGGGATGAAGAAGTGGATGATGGGTGGGATATGAGTTCGAGGAAATATACTGGGCATGTGATGAAGAAAGATGTGTCTCAACTGTATCGGTCTCGGTAACGGTGGCCTGGCTCCGAGCGCGTCTCACAGATGCATGCTGTGAAACTCGTTCAAGTCACAATCTATCTTCTCTGTCTACCATAATGTCTGCAAGATATAACAAAAAAAACAATTAGATACAACTAAATTAAAAAAGAAAAAAGAAAAAAATTAACATTTTTTTACTTTCAGATGTAAACATCCGGAAAACTTTCGTATATGTATCTACGGAAGAACCCAGAATTCAGAAAGTTTGATTTGTTTCAGAGCTGCATCTACGAAATTGCCCTAACGTTAATTTGTTCTGTAGATGTAGCTCCGGAACTTCCTGCAACTCTAACAGCCACGACAATGGCGTCCCCTACCCATGAAAATTGATTTTTTGAAGCCCTAATCGTCTGTTTCTGCCAACAAACAATACCTACATTGTCTCTAAACTATATTTCTAAAACTATCTAACGATTTCTACTCCTAAAACTATATTCTAATTTGTTTACGAAAAATACTCAAAAATACCTCAGAAACTCGAAAACTTACCGATTATATCGAACTTTGAATGGTTTGGAGTGTCTTGATCATTTAGATGAATGCTCCTTGTCGAACTTGATTGAAAACAATTAAGTTTGGTGGAAAGTTTTTTTTTAGGATTGAGAGAGTTTGGAGAGATTGAGAGTGAAGAAGTTGAAAAACAAAGAATGAGGGAGGAGAAAAGACTCTGACGCGGATGTATTCTGATTTGTTCCGGAATTATATAATTAAAAATATTCTATAGAGATAGTTCCGGAAAAAAACCAACATTAAATAAATAAATAAATGTGCGTTCAAAAATACATCTTTGAAAGTAGAGTATTTTTGAAAACGCACATGGTGCCTAAGAACCCAAAGAGTGGGGTAAGTAAGAAATTCTCAACAAAAAAATCCCTTATATTATAAAACCACGTTTCAACAAAATAAGCAATTTCAAATTGCCAAACATATCCAGACCAGCTATTTGACACAAACATCAGAACTCCACAGTAAGTCACAGGAACAACAAAGAGTGTGCCTATGAAGTTACAAAGGACTAGAGACCACCAAATAAGAACTAAGAACTTATAATATGAAGTTACAAAGGTGGCGGTGCCTGTGAACCAATCCCCCGTATGAAGTTACAAAGGTGGTGGTGCCTGTGAACCAATCCCCACGGTGAAATAGCACAAGGAAAGAGAATATATCAAACCAACCCACAAAAACAAAACAAAGTTTATTTGAAAAGTGAGACCTTAATATATTGAACTTATAAATGTACAAATGAAATTTATTATTATTATTATTATTATTATTATTATTATTATTATTATTATTATTATTATTATTATTATTATTAGATTACATAAATATTCATTATATTCTCAATTCAAAATACTGATTAAATTTGACAGGTACTAGTATCTTAGATGAAAAGGCACCCGCATTAATACTCTGGAAAATAGTTTGATTCTAACACATATCATTCTGCAGTTTTGCATGGAAGGTATCTAATGAGAATTTAATGCGAAATATACAATTTAATGCTGACCCTAGCTAAGTTCAGAAAGAAAATGGAGTAGAATTGGGGCAGTTAGAAGAGTTGGGAGTCACAATAAATATAGGCAATAATTTGATCAACATCTACAAACAAGGCAACTTTCATATACAGCACAGCCAACAGTGCCATATGACTAAAAGATCAAACCAAATTTAAATAATAATACTAAATCAATATCTATCTATTGACCTATAGTCTCTGCCTAAAACAAAGGAAACAAGAATTTCCATTCCTAGGTTTTCTCTATTATAAATTATAAATAAATATACAAATCTATGCTGGGTTTGTCGGTCATCTAATAACTGTACGGCATTGCAAACTCCTTCCATTCAACCCTGGTGATTATTACCTGTTGCAATTTACACGGTCTGTTATTAGAATGCTAAATTATTAGACTAAACTCAACCACCAACAAAAGTATTCATGGATGCTCACCCTTAGGAATATTACGGTTATGTGAAATTGAAGGAATCTTTGAAGCTATCAAGGAACTCTGCAATCCTTCTAATAGCTGCCACAAGTCAACCACATCATAAGATTAAAACACGGGATATATTGCGCTTATACAAAGTTGGTAGAAATGGGTTCACAGTTAGGAAAAAGATTAAAACAAAATTATCAGTTAGGAAACACAACATACTCTGGAGGTTGGCTGGATCCTGCGATTAGATCTCCGTGGCTCATGGACATCAGATTCAGATGTTGATTTTGTGGGTTTGTCAATTGAAGCTTTTTCCCCACCACCTTTTCGCAGTTTATCACCAGCAAGTGCAAGTTTTCCCTTACTCGCTCTCGATGTGAGTGTCCTCTTAGTACGAAGAGTATCCGTTGAAGTTGGCAGAGATGAAAATACGATTGGTACTTGTGTGGCTCCATCAGTCGTGGAGGGTGCTCTCTCAACCTGACCTTCACTCTCTGAAGCATTTTTTAAATGATTAGAAGAATCCTTGGCCATTTTTGTATTGGATACAGATGGATTTCTTGGTGGAATCACTCTACCCAAAGCACCCTGCGGTTTTCCAAATTTAGTCTTGGGTTTGGAGTCAGCTCCAAATTTCTCTTTAGTATCATTTTTTGAACTATTTCTCCATCCTCGGAGTTCTGAACCTTGAGGTATTGAAGAATTAGCATCTTTAGCTGAATCATTTCTGCTGCTCCCATGTGCAACGTAGTGCTTGCTCACTTCCATAAACTTCCTTTTCTTGCCAGGTTTAGGAACTCCAAAAATGACTTTTGATTCTTCTTTTTGAAGGGCAGACCTCGTGTTCTTACCAATGTCAAAGACTTTCTCATTTTCAGTCAAATTAAGCAACTCTAAATCATCAGGGTTTGTAGACTCTGCAACATCAACCTTTTTTGACATCTTTTCTTTCCCTTTCACATCTACTGCATCACTACTACCCAGCTTAGGTCGCTTTTCATGTGGTGTATCTCCCTGTATACAAAATTATAAAACTTAGCACAGACAAGCACACAGTTGGGATGTCATGAGAAGTTGAAACAGTGTACCTTTTGCATAGAATTTGCTGCCCCCTTAGAAAATTCAACCCATTGGCCATCCTTCCAAATAAGGGACGGGCGGAGATGCCAAGCTCTAAGAACCAATGTTTCTCCACTGGCTAAAAAGAATCAGTTCGTTATTTCCAACAAACATATGCTAATTTTCTATATTTTGGTTTTAGAAAAACGGGGATGCAATAAAAAAAGGTTTTATCAAATAAAGGAGTTCACATACCAGGAATGTGGACAGTTAAAGTTGTTTCATCCTTCTTATTCTTCTCTGTGATTACTCCTTCCCGCCAGCTGATAACACAACTATCACATTAGAAAATTCCGAAGCGATGATATTATTTTGTATATACATAATAAGTTATTAGTGTATTGAAATAATGGTCATAAAGGATACCTTTCTTGTATCCATGCGTCAACCCTATCCCCAACGGACCAAGCATAATCTCCCATAGCTGCTCTGCGCCTCTTTCTTGTTCCTTCAGGTTGCAAAGTAGTCAGAGGGCGAGCAGTGCGTATTCTGGGTGGTTTGTCTCCTTCACATTCAAGTGACACCCATTCCTTTAAAGGCCCTGCAAGTGAAACATTAACTTTTCTTAATTTCGTAATGAATGAATACTCACCAATACACAATAGAAAAAGGATCCAGTCAGAAAAAGGAAGACGAGTTAAAAAAGGCAAGACAAGTCAAAAGCATCTAGATGTCTAAGAAGGCCATAGGAGATAACATGAAAATCATCTAATAAACACTTTTTTTTACCTTTCATCCAAAATAAACGAAATATATCTTTATATCCCTAACTAAAGATGTAAGGGTAAATTACACTCTTCTCCATTGAAAGAAGCTTGAATTATAAATCCTCCACATGCCGAAACCTACATTTCACTCCTTTGAGATGTAAATATGTATTGCATTTTAATTCATTTTAACATAAATAAACAATTTAATGGCGGGGAATGACTCTGAATGATCTTCCCATCTTAAACTTTTATCTCTTTACAATTTCCAACATCATTGATAAATAATCTTTAACTCTATTTTTATTGCTTTTAAGACATCGAAGGATAAAATGAACATTTAAGATCCATTTTATGGGCTTTGAAATTCGATAAAAACTTCTATTTTATTCTTTATAGTTCTATAGTTTAGATTGTTATCTTTGAAATTCACTTAAAACTTTATTCGTATCTTAAAAAAAAAAATTTGTTCCATAATTCACTAAAAAGCCCCTGTTATAAAATAATTACTTACAACAAACAAATTCATAGAAGAATCCTCCTAAATGCACGTACATACACAAGCCAAACGATTAATCCATTGGCTTTTCCATGAATCGCCAAAGATTGGAAGTACATTCACACATTTTTTTGTAACTGGTCAACTAATCAATAAGATAGTTCCATTCTAATCAAGGTACAAGCACATATAAACTTGACTAACCTTCAACAGCTGCAAGCGAAGTGTAGCATATATAAGCTTTACCATTTTTCAAGCTTAAAATATTGGCTATGAACCAAGCAGCTTTATAACCTTCCTCATCTTTGAAGACCTGATACATATGATAGCTTCAGTTTACTGTGAAAATTATAATTCAAAAGCAACAACAATCAGCAAAACCTTTTCTCACTAGGCGAGGTCAGCCTAAAATATAATTTAAAAGCAACATAAGTTTTCAAAATTGTAAAGAATACATGTGAAATTTTATTAATGAAACCTAATCATCACCAAAGGTGATACTATAAAATGAAGCGATCAGTATTTAATCTTAGTTACTTTCACTGGTTCTACATGAAAAAGAAATAAAGGACAATGAAAACAACCTCTACAAGTGAGCCCTCCTTGAAACTAGTTTCCTCAAGATTTTCAGATTCATTTCTAACAGTGAGAGAAGGAGCCTGTATTTCAGGCTCAGATCCAGGAACCATGTCAACAGGCTTCACTAAATCAGAAACATTGCGTGCCTTTTGTCCTCTTGAATTATTTTCATTGATCATGATAGATGATGAAATTCCACTAGATGAAATGTCTCTGTTTTGTTCATGAGAAGTTTCGGTAACATCTCTGACAATGTCAATGTTCACCAGATCTTTGGTCATTTCTTTCAATAGTCCAACTTCCCGAGAAGACTCTCGGGATGCTTTCCAACATCCTTCTGGGCCAGCTTCAATCAGTTCAATTAATGGCAAAGGATCGCCCATTGTTACAATTTTTCCTGCTTGAGATACAGCCTCTGCTGCAAGCTCAGCAGCCTTTAAAATGGCATCCATATTTTCAGCTTTTTTGGTGGCAGCTGAAGCTGCTTCCACTCTCCTCCTAATAGCTTCCTTAGCAGCACCAATGAAAGAACCAGGGCTATTGGGGCCATTATCACCCTTCAGAATGGAAGCAGGCGTAGCTTGTCCCAAGTTACTAGTACTCTCGGAAAGGAAAACTTTGTTACTTTGGCTGGAATTTTCACAGCCAGATGAAATCAAAGCTTCATCAGCCATCAATTTTGCTTGAAATGCAGCATTTGATGCAACGTTAGCAGCGGCAGCTGCTGCCTTTGCAACAGCGGCAGCAGCTGCAACTGCTACTGCTGCAGAAGCTAATTTGGCCTCAATATCTGACATAAATCCAGAACTTTTATGCTTATCCAACTGATTCCACAACTCAAGGCTATGATTCACTGCAGCAGCAGAGTCAGCAGAAGCTTCCTCTGCATGTACCCTAGCCTCCTTAACTTTCAAAAGAAATTCATCCGACAGAATCCTCTTCTCAACACTAGGATCATTTTTCGGTTGATCAGCTAGAGGAGATACAGACACAACTGATTTTTCAACACTGGATATGGGCGCATTGCCAACAGGGGTCGCAACAGCAACAGAGGTAGATGCACGGCTACCTACCACTGGAGTCAGAGACTGCAAATACTTCTGACCAAGATCCTCAGATGGCACAGCCTTTTTCCTTTTTTTGGGCTTCGGGTCTGAAGAATGCTGAGAAGGTGGTACTGTCACATTGTTTGCATCAAGCTGAGAAGCAGTCCCAACAAAAATACTTTGTAAGCGTGCACTAGAGGCAGGAGGACCAGGAGTAACATTTGTTATGCTTGAGGAAGGAGGCAAAGAAGATCCCTTGACTGAACCTAACTTAACTGTATCTGAGGTGGGAGATGCAGAAATATTAGTGCTGTTGTCAGGCGCAGGAGTTGGAGAACCAATCCATGGTCCACGAAGTGGGGCTTGGGATATCCAAGAAGTGCTATGCCCAAGAAAATTTCTCGGAGGTGGAGATTGATAAGGATGCAACGGAGTAAGTGCCTGGGAATAATCCACAACAGAACCTCTTGCAAGAGCACTAGATTGCAGTGAATCACAAGAGAGAGTTGGTAGACTCCAAAGAGGAGATGACAGAGGCATTAGGGGGTTAGCAATAGTCGCAGTAGCCTTGCTGCTAGCTCTACCAAGAGGCGAAGAGGTAACTTTCCCTTGAAGTTCACTTTGCTTAACTGACATATCAGGTGTTCTAGCAACTGCAGACTCAATAATAAAGAGTTAAACAATCAGATTAAATAATCAAAGTAGCAAAATAAAAATTTGATGTGGAAAAAATCACACAAAATACCAGATCGTGAATGTAGAGGAGTTTCTGGGGTAACGTGATGAGATTTTTGACTATGCTGCCTTTCCATGCAGGCACGCCAAACATTCTCCCAAATGTTCCTTCCACCGTCTAAAAACACAATGTCAAGGAACTCAATATCTTGTTTTAAGAATAAAAACCAGGAAAACAAAAGGTGTATATGTAATTCACAATAAACAAGTAAAATCAACCTGTCACCCCATAAGCTGATATCATATGTGCCTCCTCCGGTATCGTTCCTTGACTGCAACAAGTAAAAGCAATGTTAATTGGGAGTATTAATAATCATGCTAGAAAATTTAGAAAATCAATAGCTACATCATGCAGATCTAAATGTCTCCCATGCACCTTGGATTCAGATAACAGTAACTGAACAAGTAATGGGTTTAAACATACCAACTATAACAAAAAGAAAGAAAATACAATCAGCAATGTTCTCAAATTTTTCAATTAGCCATCATATCATGGAAGGGGGAGATGTCGGGTGAGGTCTCGTGGAAAAAGGTGAAGAAATGCAGAATTGATGATTTGTGAGTACATGCACAAATCAAATCAGTATCCACTGCGATTATATAGCATGCACAAATCAAATTAGAATCACTATGATTATATAGCATGTAACAGAGCCAACATTTGAACTCACATCAATGCTCCATAGACAAAGATCTGTGCACGCAATTGTACTTGTTGCAGATCTGTGAAAGGCTGATGAAACAAGACAGGTGAAGAAGCAGAAGTGTTCAAATCTGGAAGGCTAGATGATGTTGAAGTATTTACAAGAGAAAATGTCTTTGCACTATTGGAATCTGCGTGCCCATACTGTTGAACCTCAGTTGAATGCATCAGTTTGAAACCAGGAGATGGGCTATGGGAAACTTTGGATGATATATCACCTTTTTCAGACTGTATAGCAGGGCTTGCATTTTTCACACGACCTCCTCTTCTAGCAGATTCCTTTCCAGCTGCCTTATTAGATGATTGTCTAGCTTTGCGCTTAGGCGTAGCTTTAGAAGCACTAAAAGCCACTTCTCCATCCGATATCTGTGGACTTCCATGGGAAACATTTGCTACAGTTTTGGTTTTTGAAGATCCTGGCCCAGAAGTTGAAGGAGATTCTGCCAAAGCCTTAAAAAATGAAGCAGAGGAAGAAAAAGTGTAAGATCATTTATCATTCAAAATGAAAACAACAATATATGTCATTCAAGCATTTCAAATAATGAAGCTTTCAATAAAACCCCTAGCAAATTCCGGAAGAAATTCAATCACGAAATATAAGCAATAAATAAAATACCATTCAGAATTTTGGATGACAATTAATCAGCTTGAATTATAAACTACAACAAGACTTACTATTGATGGATTGTTGGTTGTGATGACAAGGGCTGATTGTCTCTTGCTAACATCTGTATCCAAATCTGCTGTGTTTATTTTGGATAAATCAACCACAACATTTATCTCAGGAGATGGGCTTCTCTCATCTTTAGATACAGTATCCCTCTTTAGAACTTGGGCAGTCGACAATGTATTATGTATGCCACTATTTTTTAAAACAGATTCCGCGGGATTCTGATTAGCCGAAGCCTTACCTTGATTTTCCTCCTTATCGGTTTGAGAAGGGCTTCTGAATGTACTAGCAGAAGCCTTACCTTGATTTTCCTCCTTTTCGGTTTGAGAAGGGCTTCTGAATGTATTAGAGGGACTGCAAATACCACTGGCAGGAAAGCTTCCAGTCTCAGGTAACTCAACACGAGAGTCGGGCAAAGGAGAAGATATGGAATCTTTGTTCCCAAGTAAAATGTCACCTACAAGTACAAAGTTATTCATGTAATTCAATTGGAAAAAAAATCTGAATTGATAGTAGAAAGAACATGACATGAACATTACAAACAAAAACTCAGCATAAGGCGAACCACATCGTGACAAGGTTATTCATAGCCATTGATAATGGTTGTGGTGTGGCATGCTTATAAAAGTGACAAGAATAGACTTGTTTCTCTATCCTCTTTATGGGTTTCTGCTCATAGGAGTTTTATTTAATCCTATATTCAATGGGATTACCCCCTGATTTTCTCCTCTTTTAAGAAGTCCCCATACCTACCATAGCAATAAACTTCTTTCCTCTTCTGATAAATTGGAAAAAGAATATATAGAGACACCTTAAACATTAACCCATTTTCAAATTGACACGTGACTTTCTTAAAATCTTTTATTTAATCATTAACTGTAACTATATCATCAATCAGTCCTTCTGTCCGAATACTAATAACCACAAATGTACTTAAAATGTGACACAATTCTTCTAACCTTTTGTTCTATTATATTGATACAATATGTAGAGATATTCATTAAAGTGATTGTATGCATGTGTGTATGTTAATCCTGATATTTTTTATTAATTTATTGAGCTTTGTAAAAAGTGGTATTTGAATCCTGAAAAATAAATAAATAAACAGACAAATAACTAAAAACTTAAAACTACAAACATCATGATATGTATATTATGTAGTAACAAATATTAATAAATAGTTAAACAAAAAAATTAAGTTAAATAAAATCAAACCCTAAAGACCAATAATCATTTAAAATAATACTCAGATGAAAAAAATTAATATTGGGGTTAAATATATTTTAATTGAAAGTTCAATCCTTCATATAAGATTGTAATATCTCAAAACAGTTCCCAATTTTGAAAATTTTTACAAAAAATGTAGTCCTCAAAGTAGTCCCTAGAAATTATGAAATGCAAATAGGGGCTAAAACTGAATAATTTTTCAAGGGACTAAACTTGAAAGCTCATGATTTTGTAGAGGCAAAAAAACATATTTAACCCTAAATATTAAAGTAGTTATTTAAATTATTATATTTATTATGTATAACCACTACTTTTAGATTTCATTGTTTATTTATAATTATCAAAATATATTGACTAAAAAGTAATATTTCATGAGCATTGTTTATTTATAATTATCAAAATATATCAACAAAAAAGTAATATTTAATGAGCTAAATATAAGCGTTTAAAGTCCACGGTGCCAATTCAAAATCTATTCAGTCTGTTCACAATTTTTACATACTCTTTCACCTAATAAAAACATTATTCGAAACAGATTTTTTAAGTGGAAAAGAAAGGATTACTGATTACCTAACTCTTTCGGAGATGACTTGTCGTAAGTCTCCTGTAAAATCTCCTTGTTGTTATTAATAACAGAAATGGTGACCCCAGCACTCTGTGTCTCTAAAGATTCACATAGTACTGGAGGCACGCTAACTTCTTTTGTGCATTCCTGGGTAACCTTCTCATCTATTGTTCTTTGCGGTTCACCAAGTATTGCAGCACCATGAGTTCCAACATCAAGCATACTGTGACTGATCAGATGTCCAGAAGTACCAGAAGGATGAAGTTTTTCTATTTCCTTGACAGGAGGATAAGGAGCAGTTTCCTGTTCAGAAGACCCAACAAGAGCTGATATTCCAGTTTCCTCTGTTATTTTCATTGCATTTTCTTCTTTTACCTCGGCAGAAGATGATTCAACAGTAGTTACCCTTTGAGGATCGTTGTCGCCAGTGGGTCCATGAATTGAAACAGATTCACTAGGAGGTGGATTATTCATTATCTCACAGGATGTCAAACTAATATTTTCTGAAATAACTTGTGAAGCTGAAAATAAGATCAAAATAAACCTAAAAATTAGGTGCTATTAGGAATATAATTGCAAGAGATCCAGCTTTAATTTCTGAAGCAATTGTACTCAGTAAGTCTGATCCACAATTAGTGCAGAAGTAAAACTTCTACTTTATTCGTAAATTTGTAAACAAGAAAGTTAGCAAGTGATGCATCAGTAAGGTAACTACAGTTTTTGCATTTTAATGAAGTTCTTAACATCTTTTCATATATGTTTCAAATATAGTGTACCATTTGGATTTAGTGTAACAAGATAAATCAAATTAAATAATATACCTGAAATATTGACAGGTTTGGCGTCGATTGATACAGTGGAAGTTGTCAACTCAGATTCCAAGCTACTTAAACTAAGAGGTGATGAAACAACTCCTTTATCACAAAGATGGGATTTGGCAACATCAGAATGCATTTGGCTAGAATCAGAACGAACATTTGTATTCCCTTCATCATTGACAGAAACATCTTGGCCAAATTTGTCTAGGTCACTTTGCTTATCAGATTCATTGTTTACACGTATTTGAGTTGACAAACTCACAATGGAAGAGTTTGTTGAAGAAGTCACCAAACTGAAACCGGAAAAATCTCCTACCCTGCTTTCATTATTTCCTTCACTAACAACAGAAATGATATTTTCCTCTGCAGGAAACATAGATGCCTCTGACTTGCTTGATAAAATCCCCGTATCCATACGGTCACCTCCAATGTTTGATGACTCGTTTTCCTTAAGAACATTGCTCACACTGTAAGTTTCCTTCTCTGTGACATCCATAGTTTGTTGGAGATTATGACAAACTTCATAACTGGAATTGCTTACCTCAACTACCTGCCCGACAGAGACAGGATCATCTTTAACTGAAACCATTGGCGATGTACGAGTATCTGATATAGTTTGCTGGAGAATAGGATAAACATCATAACTGTAATTGCTTACCTCAACTACCTGCCCGACAGAGACAAGATCATCTTTAGCTGAAACCATTGGCGATGTATGTGTATCTGATATAGACTGATCATCCATCACCGTATTTTTAAAAGAGACTGAATTTTCACTTGCTTTGGCATCTTCACTGCGCCTTTCTTCTTTCTGCATGTCAGAAACTGCAACAGTTCTTGTTCCCATGGAATCCTCTAAACTACTTAACTCGGCATCAAGTTCTTTAACTACACTCCCTCCTTCTAAAGAATCTTGCGGGGTTATTGCAAAAATAGATCTATCAGGATGATGTGCATCAACATCAACTGCATTTTGATCCAGAGTCAGTGTGTCTACAACAGCTTCCTCCTTCATCATAGAAGATTCCGAATTTTGATTATTACTTTCAGTTTGTTGAGGACTTTGCTTCTCATCCACCATATTTTGAATAGATAAATCAGTAATATTAGTTTCCACCAGAAGTGCTGATGAATCATGAGTTTCACAATGATCTGAGTCATCAGCCACAGTCTGAGTTTCTCTTTGATTAGTAATGTTAAATTTATCATTGGTAAAGAAGGTTGGACTATGCTCAGACATAGGCAAGTCAATATTTTGGAACATATCATTTGATTCCAGAATACCTGAACTTCCCTCAATTGATAATTCACCTTCGTGACTTTGGGAAATTCCAGTCTGAGAATGTTCAATTCCTGCAGGCTTCTCCGATCCAGAAAAACTTATATGAGTATCACCAGGTGGTTGTAAATCTGTAACATTATCTGTAAATTCATTTCTATCATCAGGTTTTGGATTGGAGTCCATTTGCTTAGCTAAGCAGGCCAGTTCATCACAAGCATCTGATTCCTGAATAACAGTTTGCCTAGGAATATACTCCCCCTGTCCAACAGATTTCAAGAGCATTTCGACAGACTCTGAGGAAGTGGCCTCAGACCACACATTGCCATACCTTGATATAGAGCAAGATCCAGCAGCAGTTGAGTTGAACTCTATGCTACTACCGCCACGGGAGAATGCGTCAATCCACTGGTTATCTTCGTTACTTTCAATGCCAAGAAAAACTTCAGTTTCAACCAAACTATCAAATCTTGAATTTGCTTGAAGGCTTTCGTCAAAATCAAACTTAGGGAGAGCATATGGTGGTCTTAATACCGGAGGAAATTTAGTGCTCCCTTCACCAGCTAAATGGAGATTATGGCTTTCAAAATCACTGTCATCATAATCCATGGGTGAATCCCTAGAGCAAATAAGTTCGTTAGAATAAGATAAACCACCAGAATAGTGCTAAAACTTGATATAGCTATATGCATGCATGTGTATGAACGCGTGCATAGAAACAAAATACAAAAGCAGGCAGAACACGCATAAGGCATGCCACATTGACATATGCATCCATCATCCAAAAATCAGCATATGCTCTCTCTACATATATAGACAATCGGATGCACAAAGACAAAGGTAGTTGTTTACATTACAAAAAGAAAAAACGCTGTCTTGTTTGAAAACAACACACCACCCATATACAAAACAGGAAAACACTGCCTCAATTTAAAAGAGGGGAAAAATCTTGTAACTTTAAGCAACTAATAGTTAATCCAATTTTCAAGGCTGCCAGCAAACATTACATAACATAGCTTGGTAAAAGAAAAATCAAATACCATATCAAAAACAATAAAGGTTACCAAACGGTAGTAAATCTATCTAATATTCTAATCTGCAACTGATGCAGTTTGCAGGATGGGACAGAAGAGAACACTGCCCACTATTGAATGTCTAGTGATTTGCGAAGTGGTTTTGATTTAATAAATCATTCAGATGGGTTAATCATGAGCATTCGTCAAACTGAAAAAACTTCTTTCAGTGAAGTGCAGTAGAAACATTTGAAGACATCTTCATTAACCTTGCCTCACTCATCCACGAAATGGCGGGTTTAAAAAACTGATCAGATCAGCCAATACTTTAAAAAATAAAAAAATAAATCAGCAACTAAGTGAAGGGTTTCTGACTCAAGTAAGAAATTTAACTAAGGATCACACATACACAAGCCGTTCTCGCTTTCATAAAAAATTAATAACAGACAAGCAATAATAATTGCTGATAAGTTCATAGAGATTAACCAAATGCATCAAGTTAAAAAACAGCTGTTGCAAATCAAAAGCTTCATCAGTGAAGTGCCATAGAAACATTTGAGGGCATTTTTATTAACCATGTCTCATCTACAACAACGGCAAGCTTAAAAAATGATCAGATCAAGCAATTCTTCAAAATAAAATAAAAAATCTAGAACTAGGTGAAGTCTGACTCAGGTAAGAAATCTAACTAACATTCTCCCCTTCACAAAAAGTTAATAACGAACCGAGTCATAAATTATATTAATAATTGCAATCATAAACTAACAGAGATTAAACAACTTATCAAACTAAAAACAGCCGTTAAACAATTCTTCTGAGTAAATCAGCATGCCAAGGTAATAATTACTAATAAAATTCATAATTTGAAAGGAAAATAAGAAAAATCTTTAGCCCTAAATCATACCAAAAAATGAATAGAAACCTAAAGTCGGACATGAACAGTACCAGAACAAGTAAGTCTAGAGACGCTACCTCCCTCCATCCGGCGATGAAATCCAGCCCTTTTGATCTCACCAATTCCTCAATTCTACAGTCATCTACTCATACAAACGCAAAAAGAAAAACATCTTCGTAACTGTAATTTCAAAATCGAAAAAAAAAACAAAAAACAAGGTCAATTGAACTCACCGGTAGATTCAAGTTCTGGCAAATTGAATTAGGGTTCCGGCGAGAAATGAAAATGAAACTCGTAGTAAATTTGAGAGTGAATTTTGTTTTTTTCTTCTTCTGTAATAGTTGTTCTTCCTTGGCTGAGAAAAAAAGCACTTTCGAAATTTTTTGTTTTTTTCCAAAGAAATGAAAATTAAATGGAAGTGATGGGAATCAAAATATTTTTAAAAAGTGAGTTTGTTCATAAGTGGTCAAGATCCAACGGTTATTAAAATTTAGGAGGTTAACATCAAGACACGTGGGTACTTTTGATTCGCTTGTAGAAAGTATCAACTATCTAGGGTTAAAGGAGAAAACCGCTATTTTTGGAAAACAACTTCGTGTTTACACGAAGGATTGGTAATTTAAGGAGAAGAGAAGGGTAAATATGTCAATACGTGTCTCGTTAGATGCAGATGGCGAGATCTAACGGCTGATAGTGGGTTTAGATGAAAACCATGACTCATTAGAATTAGTACAATTTTATTCCCAAACAAAAGTGAGGGCAATTTTTAATTTGATAGAACTATTTTAATTTTAACTTATATAACTTGTGCAAATTATTTTAATTCTATTCTATTGATGTATTATATATTTCAGTAAAGAATGATTCCTATTTTGACTGAACGTTCTTATCATAAATTAAAGATATAAAAAATTAAATAAGAAGTAAAAGTCAATTATTTATTAAATATTAAAAGCTGTTTGTAAAAATAATAATAATAATAATCAAAGTGATAACTTTTGTAAAAATATATTAAATAAAAATTGTAATAATTTTCCTATGTTATTACAATTTATTTATGTTTTTGTTTATGTTATTTGTTTATAGAATATAGTTGTTGTTTTTTTCTGCATTAAAACATATATGAAAAAAAATTAAATTGTGTTGAAAAAATAATTATATGAATATTACACTATATAAATTATATTTAATTACAACAAAAGAAAAATTGTTGTTCTAGTTTGATTAAACTTAATATATTGTTGTGTGTATTATGTGTAGTCATCTTACAACATTCTATTTCACTTCTTTTTTTTTTTTAATTAAGTTATGGTAAAAAGGGTATTCATACACATATTTTACAATTATTTTATAATTAAATAGGATCTTTTAACAAAATTTTACCACTCAACTCAACTCAAGCTAACTTCAATTTCTTATATAAGATCTTTCAAAAATTTAAAGTGTCTTTGTATGTTCTAGGTTATGACAATCTATTGTTCTGATTAATATAAATTAGATTAGAATTTTTGCGATGTGCAGGTGTATATTGCATTGAACTTTTGATTGTAGTTAATATATTTTATTTTAAAAATAATAATTAGCCAATTTATATTTATAATGTTTTATAACAACACATTTAATCTTAAATCAAGTAATGGAAATATAAATATGTTAAATTTTTTAAAAATAAAGTCTTTCCGATTTATATTTGCATAATTTTAAATATATTTAATAATGAATTTATCTAATTCTATTGAGATAAGTGATTAGAAAAGTTTTAGAAATATATACATAAGGTTTTAAAAATTATGCACAATCCAATCGCTTAAAATATATATGTTATTTATTGAGACGATATTATATAAAAATACTTAATCTTTAAATTTTATAAATATAATTAATAATATAAATTTATGATATAAACTAAATTAAAAATAAATAAAAAATAGTTTTAAATTGTATAATTATAATGAAGATATGTAAAGGATATTTAAATTTCTATTTAATTCACAATATATATTTTTAAGAATGAAGAAAATGAATGATATATATATTTTGAAAAAAAAATAAATTAAAAAAATGAAAGTACACATACAAAGTTTTATAATGTAAGTCTATTGTGATTGTATTATAATAAGAAGCTTGATTATATATATATATATATATATATATATATATATATATATATATATATATATATATATATATATATATATATATATATATATATATATATATATATATATAATTTATGGGGTGATAGTTGTACTTAATTACGAGTAAATTTATGAGAATAGATAATAATAAAGTTATTGTAACATATGTTTTTTTGAAATAGAAGTTGAAGTGATGAAGAGGAATTGTGCAAATTTGTTGTTAGGTTTAATTTTAAGAGTGACACATATTTTAATTGATGTGGCAAAATAAAGTTACATGGCATATGACACATGTCGTGATATAATCTATTGCTTTAGATTTAAATTTGCAATATTAAATTTTAAGAGTGACACATATTTTAGTAATATTGATAGTGTCAAAATTAAGACATTAATTATTGGTATCATTAAATTAATATTAAATTAAAAATACATGGGGTGATAGTCGTACTTAATTATGAGTAAATTTGTGAGAATACATAATAATAAAGTTATTGTAACATGTATTTTTTTGAATAGAAGTTGAAGTGATGAAGAGCAATTGTGCAAATTAAATTTGTTTGTTAGATTTAATTTTAAGAGTGACACATAGGATTTTAATTGATGTGGCAAAATAAATTTAAATGGCATATGACATGTCGTGATATAATATATTGCTTTAGATTTAATATATTATAATAGATAGATAATAGATAATAGATAGAAGTGTTTCGTTTGTTTACAAGATAGATATCAAACTCAGATGAATCTCTGACATAGAGATATTCTTATAAGCAATATCAAAATTGTTATGTCTTTTGTTTCAATCAATTCAAAACGCGTAATCATTTATTCTTCTCCTACTGCTTTGTCAAAACAGTTTGGAATGCAATTTTCACTTAGTTAAAGTGGTTCCCGATATCTTGGAAGGATGAGGACATTTGAAACTTTACTACACTCAACAACATCTTCAGAGGCTTTAAACACCAAAGTTCTCTCGTATGTTTTGGCTATCTACTTGCTAAAACATATGGCTTGGAAGGAACACTAAGATAGTCAATTCATCATAAATCATTGATAATATTGAGCGTACTTCTGGTGCGTAGGTGTTTTTTTGGGTGGGATGGAGAATAAGTCTTCCTTCATTGATCGGTTCAATTTCCCCTTTCTTGTATACATAGAATGTGACGTGGCTTTGTTATGATTTTGAATACTCATTGCACTCACTTTAATACAAGTTTCTTACTTATAAAAAAAATTAATTTATGACCTTTATTATACATTCGGTAAAAAGGCGTATAATATTGATTTCATTCATTATATATGTAATTGTATATTTATTAATTGATTATTATAATTTTTTTTTTTCGTTTCAATTTAAAGTTGTGTTTTTTATTGGTTAATTGTAACTTACTTATTGAAAAGTTATCAAGTATAATATATTGCTTTCACTTCATGTGTATTCAAAATTGTTTGGACAAATCTGTGATTTTATATTACTACTTCGTTAGTCCAAAACTTTTGCATTATTCATTTGATATGTATAAGATTTATTTATGAAAGGTAAATATCAGAACTTTCGAT